AAGAAATCTACATACGACGTTAGTTTGCGTTTATAAATTCTTAATCAGATATATTGAGAATGAGCAAATTGTTATGTGTTTTCTGTTTGACTATTTAAATGGTAGAACATTAACCAACATTGCACAAATAGCTTTAGCCGGTTAAGTTTAAAAGATGTAACAAGTTTCAAATGATCAAAGGCTTTACATCGTTATCAAAGCACTTTACACTGAAAGCTTTCATATTACGATGCCTACACTTAAGACTAGTTGATTATTACATGCAACTCATACTTCAGTAATCCGTCAATAAAAAGACAAAATTCACCTTTCTTTCTACAACGTTTAAGTGACTAAGTTCTTGTTGTTAACATTTGTTTAATTTACGTCATGACTAAAATTTTTTATGTTATTGGCTCCTTAGGAGCTTTTCACAGTCATGTATTTGAACAAAAAATTCATTAGAATCTACAATTTTTTTTGCGTTTTAATGTCGTTATGCAAAGCAAAGATGCAATATGTTGTGGGTTAAGATTCATGAGACGATAATGAATTTATAAACTAGACTTTAATCTTGTCCAAATATTCATTGAATCTTCAATCATATGTTGCTAAGTTAAGTTTAGGAGAGAATTTAAGGGCGTTCTGTTTTCCCCGAGGTTCTACTACTAAAAATATTGTAGAGAATCGTAGAAAAATGAGCAAAAAACAATTACGGCTCTCATTCATTGCAAGTCTACACCTTAATCTATGAAAACTGCACTTCTATGCATTGAGAGTTTCACAAGAGCAATAGAGATAAATGCAAATACAAATTATCATTTATCGTCAGTTTAGTCACTTACATTTGTAGTTTCCAGCCGTAGGATCTATTTTCATACTTGATTTTGAAACAGGTAACTTCGTGTGTATCATATGTCATAACGGTTTTCCTCTTTCAAATTTCATTTTGCTGCTGCTATCAACAATTAGGATGTGATACTGATAGTATATATCTGTACATCGTGGCTTTCAAATGTTTAAATATGTGTGGTATTTCCTTGTTCAGTAGCATTCAGATATTGGCAGTTTTGATTTTTTATCAACACGTTTAAATACATCTGCAATCAAATGAGACGTGTTTCGGTAACTAGTCTTCGAGGAGAGTTGAAGGCAACAACTTTATTTTGATTGGCACAATCACAAATCTTTATACTTGTCATCTATTTGTAAAGTCAACAAGACACCTCATATGAACAACATTTACTTTCCATGACGCCTCGTGGCTTATATGTGGCTTGAAGTGGATGATGTCTTTATAAATAGTGTTAAGCATGTCATTATATGTATTCGTTCCACATGATTGTTTAACCCTCTGGGAGCCGTGCCTTTTCAAAAGTTCGTAAACATCCCGTTTGGTGATTTTTGCCTTTGAGCAACAACGGCCTCTATAGGGCTAAAATTCATTGTTTGTACTGGAACAAATTACCGGATATCTATCAAATCTAATTTTTAAAAATAAAACGTATTGTTGCCAAACAAAAGAGCTATGCTCTCCCTACATTAATATATATGAAATGCTAGTACCAATTGACCATTTTTCTTTGATATTACGTCAATTATTATTAATTAAATATATTTAGCCTATAAATTCATTATAGTGTAACGAATCCTAACCTACTCTACAACATCATGCATCGTTACTTTTGCATAACGACATTAAAACGAAAAGAAATCATAAGATTTTAACGATACTTTTTATTTAAACGCGTTGAATGAGGTCAAGACGTGGTCTCCTTATATTGACAACTACAGATGATTTCTTTTGTTTCTATTCAAATTGTAAAAATAGACACCGTGATCATTCATAATAACCTCATATTAATGCAAACAAAATTTAACACTTATCAACTCATTAAAGTTCTATACAACCTGGATCATGTTTTTTCATTCTCCACTTCTCATCTTTATAGAATATATTCAGTTTTCATACCTCAATGTAAATGTTCACATATACAAATGACGCTATACAATGTTCTTTTAATAACTTTATAATATCCATTTATGGTGTAACCTCCATATTTAACCCTTACAGTACAAGTATCATGGACCGTCCTTTTTGAACATATTTACCACTTTAAATTGAATCTTTTAGTGGCGAATAGTAAAACCATTCACATTACAAAGATTATAACCAGACTTGTTGATTTCTTTCATAAATTTCTTATTTCGTCAGTAAATACACAGTACTTACATTTCATCTCTTCAAAGAGAAATGGACCTGACTTACGTTAAAGCCCAAAATAGGAAATGAACAGAAGGCCAACTCAGGGGTGCGATGTGTCCCAGATTTTTTATGCTCTTACGTCAGATCCGCCATTACTCTCGCAAATACTGAGGTTGCTAACTACTATAAATGATGCAGTACAATGGATTATTTGCATAAAAGAATCGCGCTTTTAAAGACAAATTGGCAGTATTTACATTGTATTTTGAAGTTCTGATAATTAGAATGCAGATTTCAAAAGTAAGCCTTCACAATGTGTAAATTAATGTTCGCACAATACAATTATGTACAAATTCTTTATCTTTGATCCTTACCAGGAAGTAATGGCGGCTGTCGAATTTCTATGTGTGATGTGTCCCAGATTTTTTATGCGCTTACGTCAGATCTGCCATTACTCTCGCAAGTACTGCGGTTGCTAACTACTATAAATTATACAATACAATGGAAATTTTTTTGTAAGAGAATCGCGCTTTCAAGTAAAAATTCTTTAAAAAAGGCACTGGCGTTTTCGCTGGATACGTGTGGACGATAAGTGTAACTGCAACAAAATATTTGCGGATACCAACGAATCCGGATACCTGTGGATGTGACCTAAGATGCTTTGTTTTTAATTAGGTGATTATCAGTTAGTAATGATTGTTTCAGTGTAAGAAAAGTAATTAAAATTCAAAAATGAAAAGATATAATATCGAGCTATTTACATAGTTTGAGGTATCAGATTACTGTGAATGTGCAAGTGTGATGTGATGTATTGTTAGGGTGAGGTGTTGAGACTAGAAAAGCTTAAGAGGATGGAGCTGCAGGTGTTCGAATGTGTCGGAGCAGGATGAGATGATTTAAAATCGTCTGGCGAAGCAGGGTGGTTGGAGGAGTTACTATGAGAAGAATACTTGACATTATTGGGTTAGTATAGCGTTTCCAATCAAGGAGAGATCCCAAGTGTTCTGAGATTCTGGTGTATAAGTGGCGTGTGGTTTGATTCACATACGACTGAACAGCATCGACGATAATATAAATAAACAACACTAGATCTCAGAGACTTGAGAATTTTACCCGGAAAAAAATGAAGAGATTCGTTTGGGGTATGAAAGACGAATCTGACATTGAGATGAGGGAAAGCAGCGTTGTAGAGACGATTGATTTGTGCGGATTTGTAACAGTGACAGGTGAATGAGAGACAAAAATACACTATTTTCTTTGGGACACTAATTACAGGTGGTTTCTTTTCGAAATTTGTGTCAAAGGAAACGACGGACAATGTGGTCGAACATATTAGTTGGATAGCAATTGAGTTTGAATAGTTTTCTGGTGGTTTCAATTTGGGCATGAAAGTCATAACTAGAGCTGAGGTTGAAAAAGCGGTGTAAAGGCCAAAGATGAATTGCGTTTGTAAGAAAGTGGGATAAAGCTGTGAAAGTTTGTGAAAGACCGGTGAATGTGGGTTTACGATATACAGAGGGGGTAAATTTGTCGTTTGAGCGGTAAATGTCAATGTCTAAAAACGGTAGTCGTCCATTATTTTCCGTCTTAGAGGTAAAAGTGATGTTGGGGTGTTGATGGTTGATGTATTCTAAAAAGACAGGAATGTGATCAAGGGATTTAAAAAAGAGGAAGCAGTCATCGACATATCGTCTGTAGAGAACAGATTTGAGTTTGTGGGGGGAGTTTTTCATTCAGTTTTGTTCCTGGAAAGAGATGAATATGTTGGCAAATAGGGGGCCAAGGGGACTACCCATAGCAACACCATCAATTTGGTGGTATAAGCGGTCGTTGAACATAAAGTGTGGTTTTAACAGATAGCGTTAGTTGATTACTGAATTCGGTGGGTGAGTCCATGAAATTGTTTATGGTTAATAAAAAAGATCGCAGATGATATTGATTGTTTGGT